TATACAGCGAAGCCTCTGGTTGTAATATTAACTATTTTAACTTTTTTAAATAGGTTATATATGGTCGGTGATCTGGTTTACCGCATTAAATTATTCTGTCAAATGCTAAAGGGTTCATACACCACAAACACCCACAAATTGTGCAGTAAACGAAAGACCTTCATTCATGTAAAAAAAAAAAGGTCTTTCACAACTGAAAACATTTCTCGTCAAAAAAGGCGCAACACTGCGACAACGGCAGAGTGACGTAAAAGCGACGCTAACGTACTCGCATAAGAAGACTACCTATTGTCTAAACACACTAACAAATATAGTCTGCGTTGCAGGCGTAAACGGGGAAGGGGTAGGGATCAGGTGGCAAAAAACGCCAGGAAGAAGGGGAATGAACAGAACCCTATCCCGATAAAGAAACTCGTTTCCAATAAGCATCCCAGTTTAATTTCCTCAACCCGTAAAATTCAAAAAAGCAAAAAGGACGCCACGCCCACACCAGTGCGCAGTGCGGACCTATTCTTGTAAAAACTATTGAGCCATTCTAAATTAAACAGAAGACCTCCTTGTCCTGTATTTGTCACATTTGCTTCAATCAACACTGTACTGACGCGTCAACTTGTTAACGAGTCGTGTCTCTCATAAATTATCATTTCAGTTATTTCATAATTTACATTTGTTCCACTGTTTTATCAGCTCAATACCACACGTCCATGTGGTTGAAACCTCACCTTTCAAGTGAACTTTTTCCATACTGGCTCGATCTTTAATTTATACCGAACCTTCAGAAAATTTTCCGAAGTTCATTCCGGAGTACGAAGATTCTACGCTCGGCATCCCGCCGATCTAGACGTCGTCTCTCAGCCTGATTATGCTCCGATCAGTTTTTCGCGAAGAATTATTTTGTCCACTTGATCACAGTTATCGATTCAATAATTAATTTTCTCCTGTTTGATAGCGTTCAATGATACGTACCACCGAGGTGTACGTGCCAAACATGAACATAAACACACCCATGACCATAATTACACCGTCTTTAAAGAAAATAAACAAAGGGACGCGACCGTCGCCTTCTGAAGTCAGAGTGAGGATATGAATGAAGATTGGAAAGATAATAGCAAGAGCTGTGCAGCTGATGGAACCGACAAGCGAGATGAAGTTATCCAGCTGAGGTATACTGACTGCCAGGATGCCTGCAATGAAACAAAACACAAATCAGTGATTTGTAAACACTCCTAGTCTTTTTCTTTGTCTTAGTGCCAAAACGAGTCTTCGTGTGAGACAGTACGTAACAAAACTATGTTTCACCTGCACGTTATGAGACAGTGGCGAAAGGTAACTGAAAAATAATGCTTCCCAAACAGTTTCAATCGTTCGGAGCTATTCGGGTGGAATTTCAAATCGCTCTTGTCAATGTTTGCGATATCTCATAGAGAATTCTCACCATTCGTTACACGCAAAAATCATACTTACATGTTAAAATAACAGTGGCTGCCCTGATTCCGTAGTCAGCCCAGATGCGATATTCCTCAGGCACGTGTTTGAGGATTGGCGGCTGGATTATAAGCATAGGAACGTAAAACTGAAGGAAATATGTCAAAAATACGCAGGTAGAAAATAACAGCTTTACACCGGAGTAGATTCTGAAAGAGACAAAAGACACAAGTTATTGCATGGACTCGATTGCACGCACAATGTATCATTCTTTAATTTAAGATTTCTAATGGCCATAACCCTATCAGTCCCAAGTTCAAAACTTCAATTCTTCTTACTGATAGCCACACATTTCTTTTAATGTAAGTTCTGAGAATCTGGTTTCACATCGAGACAATATCACTAAGTTGATGATTTTCTTTATTCTCAACACCGTCTGCTTGATAATGCATTAATGTTGTAAGGAGAAATCAGAATTTGATCACTCCTGAGAATGGTGTTTGAATGTAGGCTAATCTTACTCCACGGGAAACAAAGGAACTTTTTATCTGGGAACAGGGGAATAAATTCGCGACAACGCATCCTTTTTCGTTACATAGCTAAAGGGGTATCTTTATATCAGTAAAACCATTTGTTTCTGACTCACCCTTCATCGGGAAGATTCAGTGTTATACTGCCCTTACATTCATCTTGACAAGATAGGTATCCCAGAATTCCTAGCAGCGCAAACAGTAATGTAACAACTCCCATACCAAAGCTAATAACTAAGCGATAATCCTGTGGGTTGGCCATTTTATTTTCAATCGGTAAAACCTTAGGGACAAAGAAAAGCCATCAGTAATCTTGATTTATCACAACAACGGTGATTTAATTAGTAGGCGTGCGAACGGGACCGCTGTCTGTCTATAATCTCTTTCAACTTTCAATCATCTCAGCTCTAACAATAACAGCAGATAGAGTGTGTCTGCCTGTATTCCTGTCTATCTGTTTGTCTGAGTGTCTGTCTGTCGGTCGGTCGGGTCGGTCGCGGGTCTGTCGGTCTGTCTGTTTGTCTGGTTGTCTGACTGTCTGTGTGACTGTCGGTCGGTCGGCCGGTCTGACGCTCGCTCGCTCTGTCTGTCTGTCTGTCTGTCGGTAGGTCTACAGTCTCTTTCAAATTTCTCCGCCTGTAGGGCGTACGTTTCAGCAGCTAGCACGCATTTAGATCGTCAGTCTTGCAGAAATCTTGTGGCATCATACATACCACTCCAATTCCTTCAAAAGCATACATGGTGATTCCAAAGAACACAGCAAAGTTCGACCATCCCGCAAAAGCGGGAAGATTTTCCGTGTGGTTAATGTTCCTGACCACGTACTGAAAGATGATAATCAACGAGATAGCACAGCAGATGTTGGCCGCAATGGAGAATGGAACCAGGGTACGAAGATCCCGGATGAACGACAAGAGGATTATGGGAAGAAGGAGAATTGCCATCCATGTTTGGACGTCTAGGGCATTTGAGACCTACAGGAAGGGAAAAGAAAGTATAGTCGAACCTCTCGACAACGGCCACCTTGGGGACAGAGGAAGGTGGCCGTTATGGGGAGGAATGGGCCGTGGTACGACACCTGTTTTAATTTCTGGGTGCAATATTTTTATTTTTAAAATATGTCTTTTGTAGCACAGAAATAAGTGACGCAATCAAGATGTACCAGTGGAACAAAAACAGAGACCAACGGCGCGCGGTACCGGTCAAGTTTCGTGACCTTTTCGAATGAAAAATGGAGTTTTGTATACACCGCTCGTCATTCGCTGATTTGCTGGCCGTTGTCGAGAGGTTGGTTTGGCAGTTGGGACGCGCTTTAGTGGCTGTTGCCGTTATGGAGAGGCGGCTGTTGTAGAGGTTAATTGAAATAAGAGTGAATGCATGGATTTTCCACCTGGACAAAAAAGTGGCCGTTGTAGAGAGGTGGCCGTCATCAGTGGAGGTTCGACTGTACATTGTTGCAGAGGACCGGATATGAAGTGTCAATGACATGGCAAGAGGAACACAACAACCATGAAACCTACTTACACCTACCTGTTGAAGGTTGCTGGAAATAAATACGAAATAGACGCTGCAGAAACCCAGCTGGGATACACACAGGAAGATGTTGACGAGGTGCCTGGAGTGGATGGAAAAAGAGACACCTCAGAACTTGTCTCTAGCTCGAAAACAAAACAAATTAAATGATGCTTGTTAATCCACTTTAGCTGTTTTAAGTCTCTTTATAAACCTTTTTTTCAACGTTTGCTTTATATCAATTGTACGTTTGATAATTTTGCAAGCTGCAATAAATTGATGACTCAGCTGACCCAACCTTCAGTTCTCAATTGTTCCGAACACATGGCCAGGCCCTCTTTGTCACTCAAAGTTTCACTTTCAAGAGGAGTAGTTTAAACCCCCTTTATTGAGGTCATTGTCCTCCATTATTACCTTCCAATGTGTGCCCTCTTGGGATAGTAACGTCTAATGGACTCCTCGGCAACTTCTCCATAACCCATAGCAATCTCTCCAGTTCTTAAATAAACAAAAATCAAGTAAGAAAAGGAACTGCTTAGAAATCAGAAACGTGGAGGCGCGGTGGCCTCTTGGCTAGTGCGCAGGACTTCAGATCGAGCGTTAAGGGATTCCAGCCTTGGGTAGGTCCGTGTGTTGTGTTGTTAGAAAAGAAACTTTATTCTCACAGCGCCTCTCTTTTCTCAGGAGTATAAATGGGTACCGGGGAATTAATTAGACCATAGGGTAGCCTGCCATCCCACCCAAGGCCTAAGGAAACCAAAGGCAAGCGCTGGTTCTCTGGAGCACTGGGCACATTTTCACCCCCGAACATTTGTCGGGCATTTGACAAATTTTTCTGCTCCAGGGTAGGCCTAAAGGTATTTGCTATAACGGGTCGGCCCGGGAGTGAGGCATTATCAAAGCCAAGTTTGTCTTTTAGTTTTTAAAATAAGTACGTCATTTGATAGTTGTTTATTTGTAAATTAATTTCTTGAGCTAAGTTGATGAACCTCGTTGGAGTCCAGCACTTTTCAGCTCTCGCCCCCTCATGTGCAAACTTTAGAATACAAACCCAGGATGGCGGAAAGAGGCCTTGACAGCTATGCTTCCAAAATTCATGCCTACAAGTATTTATTTGTGAACAATTGCTTCCTTCATCAATCAAAAAATAGATTTCTGACCTTGTCCCATGGGTCGGACATTTGCAGTCTTCCCGGCCCAAACTTCACCGCGAAGATTTGCGCAAATGTTTTAGCCCCACTGTGAGACATTTTCAACACTTTTTTTTTCAAAACATTACAAATTTCCGACAATTCCAGGAGGGTAATGCAGGGGCTTGGAATGGATAGAGTCACCACATATCATACCTAAGTTGTTGTAAAGGTGTGCTTTGTAACGCTCTCTCACCTTTGACATAGGATGTTACTGCATTGCACCAACAGATGCATACAGTGAATCGTAATAGCTGCAACTAGCAACAGCGCCAGGGGACCCATCTAAAAAAACATATTGATCACACGAATGAATGAGACTAAACATAAACTGAACTCTGTTATGTGTTCTTTTTTAAGCAATATGTATACATGAAAGAAAACCTGTAAGTGTACTGGTGCTCAAATCAACACTGGATGCATAGCTTAGTTGGTAAAAGATTATCTAATGTAAAGGTGTTTGAACCTGTTTAAGAATCAGGCTTGATGCTTTTTTTAACAGAAATTTCCCAAAAACTTCGCAGGAATTTTGTCCAAAGTGTTTTGCAGATATTTATAGTACTCTATACGCCATAGTAACCTTGTCGCTGTTACTTGACACTGAAAGCTGTTTTGTTTAATTCTCGACACCCTTTCGGAGAATTCTGAGGTGTTCTGTTTCTTTAGCTCCTTAGCAGTCAGTTTGTTTCAGCTCTACGCCCATTTCTTCAAATCTTGTTTGAAGATCAAACAGAACAAGTTAAGTTCACTCATTGAAAATTTTTGAAAAAGAGAACTAGTTGTTAGTTGATAGTTATAGCAAATTTGGAAAGCTGATATTTCGAATGATAGCTCTTTAGAGAACCCTATGCTTCCTCGAAGGACTATCGCTCGAAATGCCACTGCAGGACAGTTTCTTTGTAAACGCCTGGCGCCAGTGGTTCAAAGGGTGGATAACGCTATCTAACGGATAAATCACTATCCAATGCACGGCACGAAAAATCGCCTTTAC